GCAAGGCTCTCGTACCTACGCGGAGAAGAGGTAAAGCAATTGAGATTATCTTTTGTCACAGGCTGAACATACCAGTGCATCATTTTGTACCCACAAAACGTCACCTGGAAGAAGATCAGTGATCGCAGAAGACTAGTCATGCAACCACTAAGAGCTTACCACAAGCGAGAGAGCACTGATAATGACAATCCCAAGAGTTGCGTCGAGCTTGGTGGACACACTAGCCAGCGTTTGACCTCCAACGATACAATTCAATATCAGGAAGCCTTGCATCGAAAATACATTCAATACGCTTGGGATTATTGAACCATAATAGCTGTTGGTTGGGTAGATGGGTTGGCTCCAGGAAGAAATCCATGCAAGGCAGAACTAACCCCCAAGCGAAGCGGGATTGGACCATTCCCCTCGCCCCTAACTTGGGCCCAAAGACCCCACTATACGCCAAATGCGAGGATGAGGTGCGGATCCCCATAGTATCAGAAGTCTTATCTCACAAATATGCTGGGATAATGCATGAACTGAAACGCATTGATGCTCAATCAATTCTCTATACGATTGATTAACGTACATGATATCCATGGCCAGGATTATGACCAGCGAATCTCGAATCCCAAGGCCAAAGAACGCAGGGCCGGCAGAACCTGTGCTGAACGCTAAGATATTGAAATTCGCTGAGAACCAGACGAAGAACATCTGGTAAAGGCGTTTGTCAGTCCGGTCCTCCGTCGGAACAGGAGTGATTCTAGTCAGTAGGAGGTTAACTAAATCGGTCCGGTAACATTCCAGCGGGTGTGATTTTGGAATTACCCATTCGTCTCGACCCCCCAGCGCAACAAAAATGTCGTCAGTTTTGTAGGGATGCTCTCCGCGTTAGTGCCATTTTCCTGGGAGGACTGCAAGTCGGTGTTCTCCTTGTCGATGCCTGACATGATGGTGGGGTGAGGAAAGACGGTTGTTCACACACTTCAGCCGCAAGTTTCAAAGCTCCAGGAGGCGAAGAAGCCACCGGAACTGCCTGAAAAGGTTTGGAACACATGTGAAGCAAAGGCCCGATGGACCTAATTTACTCCAGCGCCTGGATTGTGGTCGCTATTAACCAAGGTCAGATTGTAATAATTTACATGATGTGCAAACGAGATAAAAATACAAATGCAGTATTTAGCCGGGGATTCCCATTTAACTCCCATCCAATGCTATACACCGTTAACACCGCTGTCGTCTTATTTGAGAACGGTACCAGCGGGCTTGGGGCGCTAGGCGTTGGTCCGTCAATTTCCGCATGCGTTCCATAAGATCCCGCGCAAGAAACACTGTCTCATTTTCTTCCTCATATCTCGTCAGGCGATCATCAATCGTTTCGATGATGGTTATATCTGCCGGATGAAAGGTCCTGGTTTCGGAAAATCGGAAGATCGTGATGAACTCGTGACGGAAAATTTTCACATCAACGGTGGTTAAGGCGGATGCCGGCGTCTCAAGCGAGACTGGAAGCAAAAATGAGCTTAATCGCAAGGGCGGAGGGAAGTGGTAGAAACCTTGAACGAGACAGACGACCCCATTAATCCTTGCAAAAGCGAAGTAGCCGCCTTTAACAAGGGGCGGGGTTAAACCCAGCTCAGATCCGTCGAGCGAAGAGGAAGGGGAGTGTGCAGTTGGAGGGAAGATCATTGAAGACGATGGTGGGGGCAAGGGCTTTCAAAATAACTTTGGTTGTGCGTCAGAGGTATCTTTATACTGCAGCGACATGCTCGGGCCACGAGGGAAAGAACATCATCCTGGGAGGCCGAGCTGGAGTGGAGCCTGATAGGTCCAGAACTGGAAACAAACCCTGAGATTTACACGACAGGACCGATTCAACGTCCACCGTTTGAGTTTCTCGCAGGTTTACTAACCCAAAATGTACATGAGTCACTCAAGTGAGGATACGAGCTTCCAGCTTCCCATAAGTACATCGGCTAGGTAACAAAACTACAGAAGCGAAACCATGTCGGTATTTACTGGGTCACACCTCACACAGATCAACGATCCAATGGGTTCTACTTTTGGCTGCATGCCTTCGCAAATATGGTCGTTTCGCATGATTACCGAGCCAGGTATTTTTGGTATTTTCCGCAGCTCGAGGTGGATTTTTGATGTGAAGGAGCCACCCGGATGTCAAATGTTTGGGCGGGCGGTGTACGCTGCAACCCTGCTACGACCGCGGATAATCGTAAGCCACAGGACGGTGGAATGAAAACATTCAGGGCTAGCAGGATTCAAGCCACCCATCCAGCGCAAACTTTGTGTTTCCGATAAGCAAAACAAGCTCCGGTGGTATAAGTCCCACTACAATTCATTCACAATCTATAGATCGATGAGGCAGGTTCCCACCGTCAGTGATGACGATGATGTGATCATCCATACAACCGAACAGTAAAGACGATCATAAACACGATGCCGTCGAGTGGTGTGTGCGGACACTTAGTGGGTTTCCTACTGTCCGCGAGCCACGTCCTGAGGGCTGCCTGGTGGATTATCCACAAGTGATGATGTAGACCCGGAACTTGATGTATTGGTGCTGAGTGGTGTTCCGAGGGCAGGGTCACTCGGCCTGAGATGCAACTGAAGCAGATGACCGCGACGTTCCGATGCCCGTCGGAAGCTCTCGAGGTAAATAGGCGTAACGTCTTTTGGGGACCGGGTAAATAACAGATGCTGTAGGGTGTATAAATCAGCTGCGGGATGAGGCGATGAGCTTATGTAGATATTATTGTCTTAGAAATCTCGGCAGTGCAAACTGTAATAATACTCATATGATGGTCCACTCAGCGGGCCCCGGATGATATAAGTCTGGATCCAAGTCCCCACAGTGGTTCCGTTCGTGGTGGAGAATACCTCATCCAGAAACCACACCAAAAGATCCGATTTTACCTCCCACGAAATGCTGACACTTATGTATAGACCAGATTATCATGGTTTCACATTGGCATAGGATAGGGCGGTCTTAAAGCTTCATCACTTGAACTTGATGCTGGCAAAGTAAAACATATTGTGATGTTTTGAGATGATGGTGTGAGACAACAATGGCACGTGGTTTCCATTGTCGATTGCTGGCAGTGACCAATTGCCGGTGTTCTCAAACTCATTCAACTTCACAGACCCGCAGTATACCCTGTAGATTCCGAGGCCAGTGGGCTCTCTACCTCTTTCTACAGATCAAATACGGCCGCGAAATCAAATGGTCGAGGATAAATATATCGGACTCGCCCTGGCCGTGTCCAGTTCTTTGGCTATTGGCACAAGCTTCATAATAACGAAAAAGGTTCGTTTTTTGGAATGACCCCAATCGTTTCACCCTTATATTCTCATGTGATTCCTATAGGGACTGAACGACGCCGCTAAACGAAACGCCTACGGAGATTCAGCTTCGGACAATCTATCATACCTCCGAAATCCAATATGGTGGGCTGGGATATCAACATGTGCGTGGAATCCCATTTCAAATATGGTTTTGATTAACCCCTGAGTTTTTTTCCAGTAATCTTAGGAGAAGGTGTTTGAATACCCATCAATATCCTGGAATCTTCAAGCTAACAACCGCCCAAGTCGCTAACTTTGCAGCATATACATTCGCCCCTCCCATCCTCGTGACACCTCTGGGTGCTCTTAGCGTTCTCATTGGGTGAGTAAGCTACGCACACCAACCACTATCCCGCTCCTAACCAAGACCAGCGCTGTCCTTGCCTCTTTTTTACTCAACGAAGAGCTGGGCCACCTTGGACGTTTGGGATGCGCACTCTGCCTCATTGGCTCTCTTATCATTGTTCTTCACGCACCGGAGGACAAACCTGTAGAAACTGTCGATGAAATACTGCACTATGCAATCCAGCCCGGTTCGTCCCACCACGCTTGCCCACCTGCTTAATGCTGAACCATCACAGGGTTCCTCATGTATTGCCTTACGGTCCTTGTCTTTACACTGATCATGATTTACGCCGTCGCTCCAAAACACGGAAAATCAAACCCTCTTGTCTATATTTCAATCTGCTCGCTGGTCGGATCTGTGTCTGTCATGGCTATCAAAGGTTTTGGCGTAGCAGTAAAACTGACTTTTGGTGGAAAGAATCAGTTCTCCCACCCCAGCACATATGTCTTTGGGATCGTTGTTGCTCTCTGTATTCTTGTCCAAATGAACTACTTTAACAAGGCGTTAGACACCTTTTCTACCAACGTGTGAGTGGACTAAAACATTCCCACCCATTTAATTAATAAGATGTCAGCGTAAATCCCATGTACTACGTCGGCTTTTCAACAGCCACAGCTATCGCATCCCTCATCCTCTTCCAAGGATTTAATACCACTGATGCCACCAATACCATCTCCCTCCTCGCTGGCTTCGCCGTCACATTCCTCGGTGTTCACCTTCTTAATATTTCCCGCACCCCCGAGCCGCCCCTCGATCAAAACGGTCACCACACAACTTTGGAAGGAGGCCTGATGAACCCCCGTCTAAGCCTGCAAGGGCGAACGTCTTTGGATGGATGGGGCGGTGCCCCCGATGCGCCACGACCCAACGGACATGGACGCAGGAGTTCGCTGTACCGCGCACAGACGTCAACGCTTTTCAACGCGTTCGAGGAGGATGAGCAGGGTAGTGAGAGCGTGGGGCTGCATCAGCTGCGGGAGGAGTCGGAAGATGAGGATGAGGATGCAGACGAACGGACGCGTTTGCGTAAGTCAGAACCAAGCCAGGGGGTACCAGCGCGGCAGAGCGGGTCTCGGAGCCATAGCCATTCTCCTATCCCATCGTCGTTGAACGACCATCGAATAGCATCGAGATCACCAGTATAGATAGGTTATTGTTCATACTTTGTGTTGGGGGGTGAAGGCACTTATTACTATAATGCATGGACGCTGTGGGTGTGGCCGCTTCGAACTTGAGTCTTTCCTCTGGTTGCTAGTTGAACACTTGGGTTCTGTCTTGGATAAGTGGTTGTTCGGCTGCTAAAAATGCCAAAATATGGTTCAATCCAGGATCGAACTGGAGACTTCTGTCAACAAATAATGTGAGACAGAAATCATCACCACTAGACCATTGAACGTTGAACCGATAGGTTGAGGTCCTCATTTGCTAATCAGGTTGCAGTTGAACACTTGGAGTTTTGTGCTGGATAAATGGTTGTTCGGCTGCTAAAACAAAATATGGTTCAATCCAGGATCGAACTGGAGACCTTCTGTGATCAAACAATGTGAGACAGAAATCATAACCACTAGACCATTGAACCGATAGGTTGACGCCTCATTTGCTAATCATGTTAATAAATGGGAGCACCCATTCATCCTTCACTTTCTTCAATCTGAAGTGTTCTAGTTTTTGTGAATTGGGGTGAGGTTACACGTTCGAGAGTTTGACAAGGCGCCAAGAAGCTGCTTATCTAGAATCTACACTGCGCTTGCAATAACCAAGCCCTTATCACATGGGGTAGTCCTCCTTGCCAATTCCATCAACTGCCGAGGCGACCTTTCACATCATGTCCCTAAACCCCACCGTGAGTCTATTTCAAGATTTAGCTGTTGGGCGGAGCAGGGGGCACCATTCAGCCATATGATGGGGTGTGAAGGGAGTAGGGTATTTGTAAGCACTCACCGGCCGACAGAAAGCTGTGGACGATTCTCACCCCCTTCATTTGATCGAGGTATATACCTGCCACAGCTGCGCTTAGCAGGTACTTACATCCGCCGGCGGCTCGGCGACACACCACTCGCCGAGTGACAATGATAAATGGGGTTCAGGCGGCTATTCCCACCAAACCCATGCCGATCGGCTATTTGCTATCCCACCTTAGCATGCGTGGGGATGGCTTGACCTCGCCGAATATTTTCCCCGCAGGAAAAAGCGGAATCGCGGACCTCTCCCCAGCATCATTGCATGCTCTTCGAGATGCCTGAAAATACCCCTAGAGTAAATTTCTCCCCCTTCCTTCGATAGCCTTGCCCCCCCCCCCCAGCGTGCACCCGCAGAACTCAAATCTGATGCACCCAGTGGTAATTTCGCGGGCCCATCTGGGCTTTGGTGGCCCTAGCAATCGATGTTCTGTCGCAGAGTATCCTGCACCTCGCACGCTCCCTGACGCCCAGAGATTCTGGCGGTGCGTCAAACGATGATTGCTACCCCCCGACCCTTGGGTCAGGCTTCGGTGATCGGCGGCTTCCCGTGTAGCAGATGAATATCCGGGGAGTCACGGTGATATCCTACGCACTATGTTTGGATATTCGTCGCTATTGTTGGCAGGAGGACAGAGGACGCCTCCAGAAGGAGGAACGGAGAAATCCGCGGTCTGATTGTTGCTTACTATTATAGCAGCGCCTGGAAATAACCCTCGTGTTTCAATCCAATTAGCCTTGTCCAATTAGCTTTGTTATTTTCCCCGGACACTCAAGGCTTTTCAGCTGCACGGAGTGAATTCAATTCTGATAATAAGAGGCACCCCCGACGGCATCAGCCGCCGGTACGTCGCCACAAACACGGACTGGTGGAAATATTCCCGCTCTTGTGAAATCAAGAGAACTCACCAGCACATCATGAAGTAAATTTAGACCTTGGGTGCATAGGTTCCAAAAGCTCCAACACCCCAGGACATCTAAATAAGGAAATACTTAACACCAGACGGCGATCATGGCCATTCAATGGCTCCACAAAATGCAACTTGTGGCTGGTAGTATTCGCTTGTGTGTGCAGGCAGCACGCCCAATGTAAACATCGATAACGGCCGGGTAGCAATCGGCCTACATAGGCAATCTAAAATGTGAAATGATCAAGTTATATTTATCCTTGATGGATAAATGATATTCACTTTTGAATTTGGGTACCCGCCTAAATATTGCTGCCGTCCGGGGAGCCATGTGGCCGCTTGAGTCTGAGGCAGGAAACCGGTATCACGGGGTGCCTATCGGCGGACATTTTCACTGCGTGCCATTGATTTTTACATACATGGGTGCCATTGGAGTGAGTTGTTTGTACAGGAGCGATGTTCGCATACCGTGGGTCAGGCGTGTTGATGATACTTCATTTTAGGGTGTGTGTTCTGTTGTGCCAACCGCGATCATGATAGAAGCATGCGCGGCGCTCACCGGATGGGCATGGGGAAGTGATGGGCTTGATCCAGGGGTTGGCCCAAACTATATTGCCCGCATGTACATAAAGCACAACCCCCCGCCAGGCACCGAGTTGCAAGGTAGGGGATCGGTCCGGACGCGAATTTGCTGAGGTCCTGGACTCGGGATAGGGGTAGGGGATGTGCTACTACGTTGATGGGTGTGCGATCAGCGTGAGATAAGGAGGACTCGGAGTCACCTAGATTGACATGTTTTGGGAACTCTGGTAGGGACATGCGCGGAGCCGGCAGATAAGTGATAAAATGGGGCTTGATGGTTCCTTGCTGGGCGTTTGAAGGCTTTATTGACCCAAGCAGGGTTCCCCTTGCGTAAGAGGGTGCTGTGCCTAGTAAGGAACCATTGAGAGTGATTAAGAGGTTTCCTTGGAGGCTGTGCTAGGAACACCTCTCATGCCGTTGGTCCTCGAGGCAGGCGTGTGCGCCATCTACACGAAATGTGAGAGAAGTGTGAGAACCATTAGAATGGGGTTGGGTAGAACGGAAAATGTACGATATTTACTGATGACACGACTGATGAGCTGGTGGTTGAACGGCATTTTGTCCGAATTTTGTGGCAGAAGCCATATGAACCTGTCCCAGGGGTCGGACGCACGCGAGGAGGATAAATATACGGGGAGTAGCACGTGACTGTGGGCCCTGACCTGAGGTCGATCAAACAAAAAACGGAGTTTGGGTCTGCTGTGCCTGGTCAGAGTTCCCTCCCATCCTCCCAGCATCTCACGCATCCCTCCTCCCCTTCGTCCTCGTCCTCTTCGTTTCCCGGGTGGAATTTATCCAGCGATTACATTCACTGGGCACGTACAGGCTGTTTGCAGGGCATTTGACAGCATCCATGATTATGCCGGTTCCGACCAAAAATAAACAATCGGATGATCCCCTCGACGCGGTGCTACGCCCCCCGCCGGACGAGACGCCAGAGCAGGCACAAGTGCGTCTGGAAAGAGAGGAGGAGGCACGGCGGGTGAGTGCGGAGATCGATGCCAGTATCAAGGCGGAGCGACAGGCCAGGAGGAAGAAGCAGATTGTCAGGCTACTCTTGTTGGGTCAGAGCGAGTCGGGTAAGCTTTCTCCATCAGTACTCGTCCGTTTCCCAACCAACCCTTTGCAGGTAAATCAACAACCTTGAGACGTGAGTATTTGTCTACGTTTATATCAATGTCATGTTCAAACCACCTGTCAGAATTCCAGCGACTTTACACACCCACTGCGTTCCGGGAGGAACGTATTCTATGGCGTGCAGTCATCCAATTGAACATTGTGCGGTCAATCCGCACCATTTTGGATGCACTCTCACCCCTTTCCCATTCACACACATCCCCCCATTCGTCTCCACGGACCCGAGCACGGAGCATATCACGCCCACAACCCTACATGGCGGATTTCGAACGTGATCGGGAAGCTGAGTACCCGCCACACATAACTATTCCTGATGAAGACGCCCTTTCACTCGCCCTTTCGCCCTTGGCCCAGCACCAACACCCCCATAGCCACCGCACTCATGCCCACTCACCCTCATCGCCCTATTCCCCATCACCGGAACCACATGACCCTGAATTTGATTACGACTCGGATCATCAGCACACTAACCCATCCTCTTTTACCCATTACAGTAGTTCCACCCCGTTCGACGCGTTGAAAACGCGGCTGTTACCCCTCCTTCATATCGAGGCACTCCTTATTGCCAAATTAGTCCCCCCAAACGAGGAAGAAGCAGGGTGGCTCCCCGGGCGCGGAGGCCATACACATAATACACATTCAGCCGAGGGTGGGTACATTGGTAGAACATCAGGATCCTATGGCGGCCCTGGGGACCGGGCGCATTCACAAGAAATTTTCGTACGACCTGGGAGGGAATGGAAGGGTGCCCTAGCACGCGCCCGGGTCCATCAGAACAATGGATCTGAGGACGATGCGTCCTCGAATTCGAACTCGAATTCGGCTCTTTCAAATTCCCAGCTTGCTTCTACAACATCATATGTTACCAGCACAATGTCAAATGATACGCGGACTGTATCACCACCACCCAACCAGGAGCTTCTACAGGATGATGAACCCCAGCAAGTCTTACACGCCTGTAGACGGGACATGATGGTTTTGTGGAACGACGATGGCGTACGGGAAATTCTAAGGAAACGGAAGGTCAAGTTGGAGGAAGGCCCTGGATTGTGAGTGTCTTCCTCCATCAAGTTCTGGGGATCATTTCCGCACGACACAAACGCCTATTCCTATATTCCTTACCAAAATCTTTACTCACGCGCCGCCTTGCATAATAGTTTCCTAAATGATCTAGATCGAGTCACGTCGTTAAAATACATGCCCACTGACGGTGCGTCTCAGCCCAGCCCTTGCCCGCGACTTTTCATTACTTAATAACTAATTTACCGCACTAGATGATGTTTTGAAGGCACGTCTAAAAACCGTCGGCGTTTCGGAATACAAATTCGAGATGGAGGTTGCCGCGGGGCGTGATAGCGGGACGGAATGGAGAATTGTGGATGTTGGTGGGAGCCGCAGTCAAGTATGTACATCCTCTATCAATTATTGCCAGCATTATCGTGGCACTGAAGAGTCAAGACTGATGGTATTATTCTTTCAACCCATAGAGACGTGAGTCATGCTGCATTTCTGCACTCAAAACACTGACAAAAACGGGCCGCAATAGCCACTTGGGCTCCCTTCTTTGATGATGGTAAACTATTTCTATACTTCCGGCATGATCCATAACCACAGCTGAAAAATCAATAGTGGATGCGATAATATTTTTAGCCCCTATCTCGGGCTTCGACCAGGTGCTACAAGAAGATAAAACAGTCAATCGCTTGGTCCGTTAGGATTCTTTCCCATCTCCAGTGCCTAATTGATCTGACGAGCGTTTAAATGGAATAGGAAGATTCTGTTCTTCTTTGGAAGGCCGTTTGCTCCAACAA